GGAGGACGCATTGTGACCCTAAACTCTTGAGATTTGGAAGAAGCTCCTGGCTCATGGCTTCGGATTGTCCCAGTTCCCACTGTGTGGCCATTTGGGGAGTGAACCAATGGATGGAAGATCTCTCTGTGTCTCTCTCTCTCTCCTCTCTGTAAGTCTGTATTTCAAATAAAAATAAAATAAACCTTTTTAAAAAGTTATCATCAATCCCAAACTGTAATTAATTTTTAAGATTCTATTTTAATTAGAAAAACAGATGTACAGAAAGATCTTTTGTCCATTGGTTAACTCCCCAAATGACCATAACAGCCAGAGCAGAGCCAGTCCAGAGCCAGGAGCCAGTCCAGAGCCAGGAGCTTCTTCTGAGTCTTCCAGGCAGGTGCAGGGTTCCAAGGCTTTGAGCCATCCTTTGCTACTTTCCCAGGCCACAAACAGAGAGCTGGGTGGGAAGCAGAGCAGCCAGGACACAAACCAGCACTCATATGAGATTGTAGTGGATGCAAGGCAAGGATTTAGCTGCTAAGCCATTGTACCAGGGCCAAACGAATTAGGTTTAAAAACAAGTTGTTTTTTTCTTTAAGAACTCCAAAATTTAAAAATGCGTACCTAGAAGTTGTTGGACTCTACTTTCTTTCTTTTTTTAAAAAAAAAATATTTATTTTTATTGGATAGTCAGATATACAGAGAGGAGGAGAGACAGAGAGGAAGATCTTCTGTCTGATGATTCACTCCCCAGGTGGCCACAATGGCTGGCTGAAGCTGGGCTGATCCTAAGCCAGGAGGCGGAGCCTCTTCCAGGTCTCTTATGTAGGTGCAGGGTCCCAAGGCTTTGGGCTGTCCTTGACTGCTTTCCCAGGCCACAAGCATGGAGCTGGATGGGAAGCAGGGTGACTAGGGATTAGAACCAGTGCCCACATATGATCTTGGCGCATGCAAGGCAAGGACTTTAGCCTTTAGGTTATCGTTCTGGGCCCGGGCTCCACTTCCATACATAGAATAGCTTCACTTTTCTGTAGAGGTGTCTGTTTTAGAAAGCGAGGGAAACTTCCCCTGGAGCTGAGGATTAGTGAGGCTGTAGGCCCAGGGCTTTGGCAGGCTGTTCCTCAGTCTTTCATGTACACCAGAGCCCTCCTATCTCCTTTGCAGATTAGAGTCCTTAGAGACATGCAAGGAATATGGCTGTCTGAGTCTGACTGCAGAGACAGTAATTCTGGGGAGTTTTACAACCTCCCCGGGTGCTTCTAAGGTACAGCCAGTGTTGAGAGTCACTGATGCAAATGGGTTACCAGGAATGCTGAACCTGTGGCTGCAAGCTCCCCAGGCATGCTCCAACACGCCTAAATGCTAGACAGAACCCAGTTGCAGCCCTTGATCTGAATGCCTGGCCTGTTCTCAGGGCTTTCTAAATCACAGCTTCTATTAATGCAAAAATGCTGTGCTTACCTGCGCTACCCCCACCACAATCAATCCTGATGCTAAAGATATCAGCATCAGCAGCATCTTGTTACATGGGAGAACTAAGTTTTCTTTGCCCATCTTACATCCATGGCTGAGGTTCTTATGCCAAAAGATATTTTGACAATAGAAAAACATACGTGTGTGTGTGTTACATGAGATAGGACCCTTCATAAGGAAATGAAGATTAAAGCAAATTGAAAGTTATATATTTTATGCTGAAGCTGATGGAAAGTGGGTAGTGATGGAGAACTACAGGGCCTACTGTAGTGGTAATTAACTAGGGGGAACCTAGCAAGTCCTATTCAATCATCTCTATTCATTCAGGTCTTTCTCTGTGACCTTGTGTCTTTAAAAGGTATGAATATTCCCTTCCTCCTGGTATGGTGGGGGGAGGGAGTGATCACTTAGATGAGGATCAAGACCTATTTCAGTGCAAGTGCAGGATGCAGCTGCTGAGACTGCCCACCCTGCCTCTACCATTCGCTCAAATTTCTTCATGTTACAATATTCAATATGCCAAGGTACCATATTTTGGGGTAGCATGTCATGAACCTCATCGTGGTATGCTGATTCCAAGCACCCAAACAATAATAGCAAGGAAGTTTCTACGAACAAGAGCAGGGATTTTGCCTGTTAAGGTGTTGATGGGCTTCAGGATGTGCTAACTTGTAATACTGTAGCAGCATTTGGGAAAACAGCAGGAGCAGGAAAGCATCTCTAACCTTTTTCTCCCCTAAGGAGAGATGTGTCCTCATGTGGCAGGTGTCCTACACCAAACATGGAAGTGAGACATGCAGATGTCAAGGAGAATCTGATGGAGTGAGCTAAAGATAGTTTTGCTCCCCTCATTAGCAAGAGACTTGGGGCCTGGAAGGAATGGAAATGAGAGCTAGGAAGCTTGATAACAGACACCTAGCCTTAGATTGGCCAGGAAAACAGATTTTTTTTCTATCTTTTGTGTGTAGAGGTCACTTGAAGCCATGATCGGGGGTTCAGATATTATTGTAAGAGAAGTGGGAAGCCATTAGCAAGTTAAGCAAGGATGCGTGTTTAACTTAAGGAGGTGAGTGGCGAGCAGGGAGCCCACTGGGTAGGAGGTGATGGATCCTGAGCGTTTTCACTGCTGTTTGTCTATAGTCACCAAGTGGAATTCCCTAAGCGCTTTTGTTGCACCCTAATTGTGAAGAAGCCAGAATTTTGCTGGCTTTCCCAGCAATTCTTGCTTGGAAAGTTATCTTCTATGTCTGCAGCTAAATGCTATGTTTAAAACAAAATGAAACAAAGCAAAACACCCTGGGGAAGATGGGCTTCTTGATTCATCTCAGTTTTCTGATTAATCATTCAGATGGGAAACCTAAGCCTACACAGGTAAAAAGACACATGAACTTCAGGTCAGGATCACAATCCTCCTCCAAATATATAACTTCTGTTCCTCCTTCAGGGTAGAAGGGCTTTAAAAACAAATTCTTTGCATTCAGCCCATGGTTTCCTAGCAACCAGAAGGAAGCATCTCTTTGCCTTGACGTCTGTGAGCACCAGCACAAGTCAGGCCGAGGCTCCAGCGGCTTCCAGAGGACGAACAAACACACTGGCATCGTTCTCCAGTGGGTGAGAAATTTTTTTCCAAGGGAATCTGCTGAGAGTTTATCACCTCCCAGACCAGAGGCAGAGGGACCTGTACCCAACTGTAGGACCTGGAGGGGGTCATGTGGTAGGTGTGCAGACACTGTCTGAATGTGTTATTTATACAGAGCATGGGGGCTGTGACATCTATGGCACTACTTCCTATGAAACAGCTAAAACCTGAGATGGCTGCCATCTTTCCTGTGCCTCTTTTGTGTGCGTTTTCATATCACAACTAGTGTTTTCTTAAGGGCTACGTAGAGAGAAAGTAGGGATGACTGACAGAATTTACATGTAACTGATAGAAGTCCATGCTTGGCCAATTCAAAATCTGGTCAAAATGGAGAGCAGTGGGGCGGTGGTATAGCAAGTTGATCTTCTGCCTGCAGCACTGGGATTCCTTATGGGCCCCTGCTCGAGTCTTGGCTGCTTCTACTTCCCATCCACCTTCCTGCTTGTGGGCTGGGAAGGTAGCAGAAGAGGGCCCCTGCACTCCTGTGAGAGACCTGGAAGGAACTCCTAGCTCCCAATTGGCCCAGCTCCAGCCATTGCAGTCATTCAAGGAATGAGCCAGTGGATAGGAGATCTCTCTGTGTCTCTCTCCTTCTCTCTCTTTAACTCTGCATTTCATATAAAAAAAATTAATTAAAACATGTGATGGAGAAGCCAGCAGCCTGGAGACTCAGGGATGAATTACAGACTGAACCCCAAAACTTCATGCCGACAGAATTTCCTTTTGTTCAGGAGTAGTCAGTCTTTGTGTTTTCCATGCTTTTAGTGGAATCTATGAGGACACTCACATTATGAAGGGTAAATCTGCTTTACCAGAAGTTCACCCATTTAAATATTAATCTTATCCAGAAACACTTCCACAGACCTATTCAGAACAAATAGTGACCTAAGTTGACATTCAAACTTGTTCATTCTAATTGGTTTCAAATCTTTTCAAAGAAAACAACACTGTAGATAGAACTAAGGTTTGTTATATCCCTCCCTGGGATATGTTCTATTTTGTATGTAATGAATAGGTATGTATTCATTACTGTTCAATACTGATAATCTAAAAATAAAGATTTATGTCATATAGAAAAGCTATTTAATTTTTTGGAAGTTAAAATTACAGAGAAAGAGGGAGAGACAGAGAAAGATCTTTCATCTGTTGGTTCACTTTCAAGCCTGGCTGAGCCAGGATACAGGGGGTTTATCTGGGTTTCCCACATGGAAACAGGGGCCCAAGAACATCTTCTACTGTTTCCCAGGCCATTAGCAGGGAGGCTGATCAGAAGTGGAGCGGCTGGGACAGGAACCAGCATGCATATGGGATGCCATTGTCACATGTGGTAGTTTTACCTGGTACACCACACTGGCCCCAGCAGTGATCATTTTTATATGCTTATTTTTGTGACTTCAATCTCCTTTGGCCTCATCAACTGATCTCCAGTTTGTGGCTCAATAGTGTTGGAGATAAGGACACATTTGCCATGATTGCATATATGTTCAAGAACCCATTGCTCATAGCAACAGCTTACAGATGAAGTTCTATGGAAAATTCCATCATGAGCCATTCCATCAGGGTAGACTAAGAGTCACCATGGTTCAGATCACAAATCATCTGTATTTGGGTGGTCTGCCCACAACGTTATCAACTATTGTATGAACCTTATATAATTGACTTGCTAGATTATTGCAAGGATAAGGACACGATTAGAATTAGAAAACCTTGGAAGGAACAAAAAATATCACATACATGCAAGGTACAATGCACTGGCCTGCAGACAGTTTCCTGACCAGGAACTTACTGCATAAGTGGCTTAAACACATTCAGATCCCTTCCAGAGTCTGGGAATCCATGACTGGTATTTGGAGTGATAGCATCCCTAACTCAAATTCTGATTTGCTGCTGAGGTTTCTAGGCTGAGAAAGGCTGTTTTCTCAAAGAATATCAGGTGCACTGTAAGCTGCGGATACCTGCTCAACTGGACAAGCTTTTAATCATGGAAAGGAAGCTTGTGAAGAAGGAAATAAAAAAGCTCCTGTAAGTATGATTGAGAATAACTTGCATATGTGATACTGGGCATCTGGTCGGTTTCATATCACATGCATACACAGATGGTTTGGAATGGCAAGGGGATAAAAATCTATGGCAGTTTCTATTCCTGCACAATTAGAGAAGGACAGGAGACGCTCTGGCTTCTTTCTTGCTGGGGAGGCTTCCCATGTGGTGCCAAGCAGGATGCCGTATTTCCACACAGGATGTCGGTAACCAGCACATCTGTGTCATCTCCATTCTAGAGGCTGGGAGCTGAGCCCTCAGCCCAGCGACCCTCAGGAGGTAGCACATACTGCTGCAAGGGGTGGCCCTGCTGGTGAGATGGAGGGGAGATCTCGGGAAGACTGTGCCAGCAGCCCACCATTTAGGCCACAGCTTGTGCCTCTGTTACTGTCAGCCTTCTTTTCTCATTTATGTCCTTTTTTCTTGAAACCTAAAATGTTTTCTGTAATACAGCAAGCAGCAACTTATTCTAAGGATATTTTCCTCCTCATAAGGTAGCTTTTCTTGTGAAAAATTAGTGAAAAATCACAGACCATGTAAAAAAGGAAGCAAAGATGATGTCCTGTTTTGTATGTATTATACTCAGGACAATAATACCCTTTCCATGTAAAACCTTATCATGGGCCCTACCAAATGTGCTTTCCATGCCCACATGACTATTGTGTTTTAATAAGTCTGAAAAATGCTGCGATAAACTATGTATGTGTTGACATTTGTTCAAATGCATGTAGTGTATTAAGAGTATCCATAATAAAGAATGATGTGTTTGACATATCTCATTCGACGAATTTCAAAGCCTATATAAAGACAATCATATATAAAATAAAAGTTTTGGCTAACTTAATTAAGGTAGCTTGGAATTTCACAGCAAAAATGAAAGAATTTTTATAGTCCTAGAACCACTTAATGACTCAGTAAAGTTCAGAGGCCAGAAATCAACTTTTCCTCAACAGGGTAACCAACTCAGAGTGTCCTAAAATGATAATTAAACAAACGGAACTGGCTTTCTATGAAATGGAAATAATTGAACATAACTGGCCTTTTATGAAATGGGAATAAATAAATAGAACTGGCCTACAAAATGGAAATAAATGGACAGAACTGACCTTCTATGAAATGGTGAAATTCGCTTAGATCAACCTTGCAGAGCCTTAGGTCCTGTGACAATCTCCTCTCATGGTGCTTGTTCTGTGGAGTGACCAATACGTTTTCAGGCATAACTCCTCCTAAGGGAGCTTATTATTCTAATGAGAATAAAGCTTTAGGGTCAAAACAATACATCACTACAAAATTTTTGAGATCTGCAGCATATCAACTTCATACCATTTGAGTTTAACCTGGGCAGCAAAGAGGTCATTATTTTAAACAGTGGGTCTCCAGTCCTGAGGTCGTGGAAAGGGTATCTGGCACAGTGTTTGTTTTCCAGTAAATTCTGTACCAACGAAGTGAGTTTAAAGTTTGGATAAAGTGTGATTTCAGCTCATGACTGTTGGAGCTTTTTTAAACTGCAGTGCTGCAGAGTGACTGTGGAAAGCAGTCAGCTGGCTCAGCTGCCAGAGCATTGGTGATTTCTCTTGTATTTGGGCAGGAAGGGGAGGGGCTGGGAAGAAAGGCGTCAACTGTAGACTGAATCCTGTTGCCACCCCGTAGTTCAATACTGCTCTCTTGCTTTTAAGGGGAGATTATATTGGCATCAGACTACGAGAAAACGAATTTGACCCCAAAGGAAGAAGGCAACTCACCTTTCTAGATGACATGGTAAAAAATGCCAGTCACATTCTTGTTCTCTGTGTGTATTAAGGGGACAGCACAAGCATCTAGTTATATAATAAAGAAAGCTAATACATGCACGTGGATATATAATACATAAAGCTAATGTATGCACACATCCCCATCACCCACACACGCTCTGTTCTCGTCGTCATCTCCTATTCCTAAAACAGTCCACGTGATCATTTCAAATCACTGAGCAGAAAGCCAAAAAAAAGGGGGAAATGAAAGTCCTGAGGGCTACTTGCTATTAGGAGAGAAAATATTAAAATGTCAAATGAATTATGGGTAAGATGTTACATAATGGTGTTCAAAAACTGACAAAATCAGCTCTCAGGTATGCGTAGTCTCCTAATACAACCTTGCTTTACCCTTTGCATGGCTGGGAGAAATGCAGAGCAACATTTAAGTCCTCGGTGCTTTTCGTGTTGAAATCCAGACTCATGTTGGCTCCTGAAAGCCCGTCTGATTCAAGACATTGTTAAACCCCATTCCGCATGCAATTTTTATACCACCTGTTTGTTTATATGTTATCCTTGCACTAAAAAGAGAGGATCTCCTTTTCTCTCTTCCCCTCTCTCTCCCGTCCTTGCATCTCTGACTACAGCGGGGCTCATCGACACATTCTAAACCTCCCTGGAGCTGAACAAGCAGCTCAGCCTTACACTCTGCACACATAATAAACACAGAAATGAAACAGAACAGAGCAGTGTTTCTTAAACTTCCAATAAGATCTTGAAACAGAGCTGTTCTGATTCAGTCCTGCTGGAGTGGGGTGGAAATTTGCATTTATGCCGAGTGAACAGTTGATGCCTTTGCTGCTGTCGTGAGCATCAAAGTTTGCATTAGGTTGCAGCTACTGAGCATATTGATTTATTGACACAGGTTCTTTTTCAGTATGGGTCAGTCTCTGGAAAAAAAAATACTACAGTAGAGAATGTCATAATCATGAAAGCCATCCAAAATAAAAACCTTATCTTTTCCTAGTGTGGGAAAAGGAAGGAAAGAAGAAAGATTTGGTCAGATACATGGAACATACAATTACTAAGCAAGAGCTTTGAGAAATCAGGAAAAAGCGATCCCTAATAGAAACAAATGTTTGATCTGTCCCCATCTCTGTCCTGTGTGTAGTCACTTAATCGGGCCTCCCTCTGGTCCTTGGCTCATGCTGCTCCCTCTGCCTCGGACATCCTCTCACTTGTCATCCTTCCAGCCTCCTCTCCGAGGTCTCCCAGGAATCCCACCTGTCCCCAAAGAGAAGCCCTCCGCCCACGTTCTCTCCAGGCTTTCTTCGGTGCCTTACAGAGCGCCTTTCACACATTTACTCACTACACCAGGAGTTGTTCCCCGTGGCCTCCTTCTCCTACCCTCACCGGTCTCAGTTTTGAAATGTAAGGGAAGTGAGGCTCAGACAGCATCATTTACCCAAAGATGTAGCAAAAATTGTTGGAAACACCTAGAATTGGTACCTGGATATCCAGCTTAGCAATTTTTCCGTGAATCCATTCTTTCTTTTCTGGATGATACAAATCTAGTAATTGCTCTAGTGGGAGATAAATTTGGTGTCTATAAAACAATCCCTGACAACGTCTGACTGAGTCTTCGCTCATTCGACGTAGCTAATGATCCTTTCCATTCTGGAGGTGGTAAAATTGAACAGGTTTAGTAGTGTCACTGTCATTTGGTCTGGGAAGTCCTTTGATCAATGGCTAAGCCTGTCCTTTTGCTCTGGTGCCTCCTGCTTCCAGGCACACTACGACCTGACCATCAACGTTGCTTTGCAATGGCTGGACCACTCGGAAGACTTTGCTTGGCTGGAGGGACAAGAATTGTAAGTTAAATAGGCTTGTTGTTTACCTCTTTTAATATATAGCTCTAAAAAAATTACGTAGCTGTAATTAATGATAGAAAAAGTTCCAGCCATAACTCGCATCATCCCTCATATGGCCCTCAAATTTGGACACGCTCCAGGAAGAATACCTCTCTTCAACTTGGTCCCAAAGAACTCTCAGTGGTGCCACCTCAAGATGGGATACTGACTGGTAGAACCACCAGCACCTGCCACAGTGGCTTGGCCACCAGTGTCTGACAGCTGCAAAAACAGAACAAGTTCATCACCACTACTGGAAGGTGAACCATTCAAAGCATGCATTTCACTGAGGGCTATCATATCAGTTTGATACATCAGCAAATAGCATATAGCCATGGTAGAAGACTGACAGATCATCACCTTAACAGCTGTTGATGAAAACAAGAATAAACCCTTTGTTCTTGTTCATTCATATTCCCCTTTAGGAAAATGCCATTCCACAGCAGACCAAGATATCCAAGCCGTAAAGAACGAGAAGCTATGATTTTATCCTCTTATGCTGGAATCCTAATGGTGAGCAAAGCACACTGTATGTGGATGAATATTTCATATCTACCATTTATATATTGATATTTATGAATATTTATGTTGCTTTTCAACTAACATTGCTAAATAGTTAGAATTTATCAGTAGTAGATATTTCATTTCTTAAACATGATAAAAAATTGAACTTTTACATTGTTCAGTGCAAGCACTTCTTTAAGAGTGGGAGGGAGAAGGGAAGAGAAAGAGGTGGAACTGATTCTCCCATTTATGCGGAAGTTAGTTCTTACAGTACTTAGTTACAGTACTAAAAATATTAGATCTATGGTGGTTTTTTTTTTGCATAAAAGAGAAGGCATGATATGCTGAAAATGGTGACATCTTTGTTATTTAACAGAACAGTATCCCAATTGAGGAAGTCTTCAGAATTTATGGGGCTGATTGTTCTGCGCATTCTGGTACAAACAAGGTATGTGTGAGTTAAAACCATACTTAGAGGGGATTTTGAGAGAATTTATTTAGTTTATAAGTTTAAAATGCTACATGTTTGGGCATAAATTATGAAATAATGGTTTTACATCAAAATGTGCCAAACGGAGCCATATCCTACCTGGGTGGTATGTATAAAGTGTTTTTTTATGGTAGTAACAAATGTATCTTGTGTACGTGGGAGTCAGGGCAGCCCCTGGAACCTGGGCTAGGGTTCCTGGGAGTCAGGGCAGCTTCTGGAACCTGGGCTAGGGTTCCTAGGAGTCGGGGCAGCCCCTGGAACCTGGGCTAGGGTTCCTGGGAGTCGGGGCAGCTTCTGGAACCTGGGCTGGGGTTCCGGATCCCTGCCTTGTTGCTGGAGGCTGTGTTTTCTCACTTTAGCTTGGGTGGTGCGGACCTCATTGGCACTCACTCTTCTCTTGTCATCCACCATCCTATCAGGACAGGACCAGGCCGCTCAGGTTTCCTCTTAGGATACATTGGCCGTTTGACCGTTGTCATGTTTCTCTTTCCCAGAGACCCCTTTGAAATCATTAACACTGACTGTAGTGAGAATCTGAGAGTCCAGGGTGCTGGATTTGAGTGATGAGCTAGGTCCTTCCTCTCTTTGGTCCTTCATTTATTTATCTTTTCTTTAAAAATGGATGTTTTGAATAATTTTTCATTTATTCATTTGAAAAATAGAGTTGCAGAGAGACAAAGCAAAAGAGAGACAAATCTTCCATGCATTGCTTTGCTCCTCAAATGTCTGTAGTGGCCGAGAGTGCGCTGGTCTAAAGCCAGGAGGGTTTTTTTTTTTTTAAGATCTATTTTTATTTTTATTGCAAAGTCAGATATACAGAGAAAGATCTTCCATCCGTTGATTCACTCACCAAGTAGCCACAATAGCTGGAGCTGAGCCAATCCAGAGCCAGGATATTCCTCCAGGTTTCCCACACAGGTGCAGGGTCCCAGGACTTTGGACCATCCTCTACTGTTTCCCCAGGCCATGAGCATGGAGCTGGATGGGAAGCGGGGCGGCTGGGATGCGAACTGGTGTCCATATGGGATCATGGTGTGGGATCATGGTGTGGGATCATGGGATCATGCCCTGTGCGAGGCAGGCAAGAATTTTATCCACTAGGCTACCACACCAGGCTGGTCAGGAGCTTTTTCTCCAGGTCTTCCATGTGGGTGCAGGGGCCAAAGCACATTAGCCATCCTGCTTTCCCAGGCATATTAGCAGGGAACTGAACTGGAAACAAAATAGCTAGGACTCAGACTAGCTCCTCTGTGGGATGCCAGTGCCATGAGCACTGACTTGACTTGTTATATCAAAGTGCTGACTCCTGTATGATCTTTAAGATCAGGTCAGTTTATGTCATTTACGAATTATGAGAACTTAGCACTTTAAACAAGATTTTATTTTATTTCTCTGAAAGGCTGAGTAAAAAGGCAACAAGAAAAAGAGGTTCAGTTGGTGTTTCAGTCAGTTGGTTTTTCTCCAAATGGTCGCAATGACTGGGTCAAGGCCAGGTACACACTAGGAGCCTGGAATTTCATTGAGGTCTCCCACGTGGCATCCAGTGCTTGGGACCATTTTCCACAACTTGCTTAGGCACATTAACGCGAGCCTGGAGCAGAAGGAAAGCAGCCAGGACCAGAACTGATGATCCTATATGGGATGCCAGCATTACAGGGGGCAACTTGCCTTGTTGCAACACTGGCCTCATTCAGTAAACATTTTAATGAAGAGTTTTACTTAAAGGTGAATTTCTGAGACCTTTAGTTTTAGATATCCCCAGAAGGGGGAAGATGGAGAGAACTTGGAGTGGGAAGGGGGCATGCAGCCAGTTGCCTCTCATCTAGATCTGGAAGGGAGCCAGAACAGTGGCGGGGCTATGGCCACGAGAACCTCTGCCTCCTGTGTTCTCTTAGCTGCAGACTATACTGCAGGCAGTGCAATTGTGTAAAGCTCAAGAGCTCACCAGGCCCATTTTAGGAGTCCAATATTTACGAAGTGTGGTAACATTGAAACCGACCTTCTGTAACCTGACCCAACTGCCTGCGTCACTAAGGACATCTCTAAGCCCTCTAGTTTTAATTCACTCCATTAATTCACTCATTCAATATGGTTGCAGGTGCAGAGATAGAATAGGGGCTTTCTTTTTTTTATATAGATCATACTTCCGATTTATTGGGTTTGCCTTGGTTGACATTGAAACACCCCAGGTGTGACAGTCCTCAAAGACAGAGCTGTTGTTCTTAAATTTTAAAAGAAGCCCAGCTCTGTGGGTTCGTTCAATAGCCAAGCAAACCACACAGATTCACTCCTGCTTGCTTGCTTTCTCCCTTCCTGAATGTCCTCTTCTCCCTTTCCCTCAATGCCACACACACACACACACACACACACAATCCCGAGCCCCAAGCCCCTGTGTTTCAGTCACTACTACTGCCTCACTGCTGTCTTCTGGTGCCCATTGGAGGGCTATGGTGTGGCAGAGAACAATCACATGGCAGAGAATAGATACCAAAAATTACATCCTGGAGTGGAAGAACCAAGACGACTCTAGTCATAGTACAGTCTGCAACCAAGAAGCCTTGCCAACATGGGTGTTTGAGTAGGTTGAATGAGTGAGGTTTATCCAGAGGGGCTAGGTCAGCACAACATGTTGCTCCCAAGAAGGCCAATCAGTATCTCCCGATCTATCTGACCACTCACTGATTCATGAAAGAGCTTTGCTCATCAACCTCTCTGTTCAGCGGGTTCATTCTCAGGGACCAGTAGTGAACAGCTCAAGTGTGGATATCAACTACACAAAGACCAGCTCTGAACAGAAACAGGTAACATTGTGATTGATAGAAGTTTTCTTTCAAAGGCTTGCTTGTATTTATGACTAAGGGACAGGAAGATTGGCTCTTAGTGATTTAGATGTGAATGACGCTTTGCAGTATGTTAAACCCAACAATTCAATGTCTGGCTACCCTGGTTTGACAGGTAACTCTGCTGGTTACAAGCAGGATTCTCCTGGAAAATTCTTTAACTTATGTAGGCTCCCGTTTCATTGGCAAAAGCAAGGACAAGACCATGGAATTGTTGAAGGCATGGAGTTAGAATCAAGAAATCTCTTAGTGTTTGGCTAATGGCGACCTCAAAGTAACAGCTATTATATTACTGACTTTCCGCTGTTCATTGATTCGGTGTCTGGTTTTTCTCTATATCTCTAAACCAGGATGTTTCAATCTTTGAGCCAGATAATGCTTGGCTGTGTTTAGTGTATGGGGGTGGCAGCTGCCCTGTGTGTTGTAGGGTGTTTAGCAATAACCATGGCCTCTACCCATTAGAGGTCAATAACTTCTAACTAGATGCAACAATTTAAAAAGTCTCCGGATTTTGCCTAATATTCCGAAGGAATAAAAAAATCACTTCTGCTTGAGAACGTCTTCTCTAAATATTTGAAAATTAAATAGCTAATCAAGCATCCATGTGTATTAACACAATTGTGAACCTTGCCTATTTTCCACAATCAATGATCACAAAGGTCATGATTTGAGCCACCAATATAAAAATCTTAGAATCTACCCCCGTGAACCTCACAATCTCCTCCTGGTCTAAGCATGCCAGCTCAAGGTTTAATCTTGTGGCTACACATTAACTCAGCCCAAGTTCTCCACATCTTGAATAAGGGACTGGCAGGATCTTTGAACAGAAGCAAGATTGGAAGATTTCACGTTACAGCTATTTTAAAACAGTCCTTTGCTATTTCACTTAATTTCAAAAAGTGATTTTAACTAAGGGAATGGAGTCATTAAAATCATTTTAAAAAGAAAATAGGCATTGCTAGCAATTCTTCATTAATTGCTGCATGGATCTGAAGGGCTTTTGATTCCTTTGCATAAAATGTAACCAAACAACAGCTTAGGATACTCTTTCCAAGGGAATCTTGAAGTCCTGTTGAATTCTAAACAGATTAGCTAGAGTGTTTGCCAACTGGAATTGCCCACGTGTTACAAGACGGTCCCTGTGCTCAGGGTTGATAGCTTTCTTCAGGACTATTTGCTGCCACCTGGTGACAGGAAGGCATCATGACACAGAGTCTTCCACCGCCTCTATTAACCTTTGGTTTTACCTCCTGATAAGGAGCTATTTTTTGCTGACAGGGAGTTTTTTTTTTTTTCCCTACTGAGAACTCTGGACCCAGAGGAAAAATTCAACTAAAGACCTTTTGCAAGGGAGGGGCATTTACAATGAGCTTCAGATAAATATAAAATACCCTACTCCATTTTAAACTGACAACAGAATACAAATTCTCATTCAAGTCATGAAAAAATAGATTCCTTAATTCCATTGATAGAGAAAGAGGAAGAAAAAAACGCCAAGACAACAAAAATGAATGAACAGGAAACAATGAAAGAGCAAGGACTGGTGAATATAAAACACCAGAATTCCTGCTTTCCTTTATTTGTTTTTTAACTTTTATTTATTTACTTTAATTTGAGAGACAGAGACTTGCCTTCTGTGGTTCATCCTCTAAATGCCCACAATGACTGGGCTATACCAAATCAACAATGCAAACCCAGCTCACCCCCAGGAGCGGCAGGGTCTCCAGTCCTTATGGCCTGCTGCCTTCCACAGTCTGCATTGGCAGCAGGGAAGAACCAGCAGCAAAAACCAGGACTCAAACCCAGGTACTGCCATGTAGGATGGAAATCTTAACCACGGGGCCAATCACCCACGTCTGCTTCCTTGCTTTGTCTCAGAAACACCTAGCCTGACATCCATAGTACAGCGTGTGCTTCCCAGAGGCGGGAGGCCTCCAGTCTCGGCCCTGTCATTTGCCAGCTATGGAGTCTTGATTAAGTTGCTGAATTTTTCTGTTCCCAATTTCCCTTCTAGGTATATAGGGAAAGTATGTGTGATTACAATAACCCTACCACACTGTGTGGTTCCGACACAACAAGATCACATATAGCAAATACACAATGACGACCTCTTTAGGACCATGTCTTTAGAACCGTGGTTTCCAGGGTCCTTCTCCCCCAAACATACTCAGGATGGACAGACTGACCTACTCCTGAGACACATCTACTCTATAGAATACTACTCAGCCACTCAAAATGATGAAATTTTACCATTTGCAACATAGTCCCAATTGGAGACCATTATGCTCAGTGAAATAAGCCAATCCCAAAAGGACAAATATTGTATGTTCTCCCTGATACAAAACAACATTCATGCAAAATACAAAACAGATAAACAGGTGTATATATTACTCTTTTTTTAGATTTATTTTATTTTTATTGCAAAGTCAGATATACAGAGAGAAGAAGAGACAGAGAGAAAGATCTTCCATCCACTAGTTCACTCTCTAAGTGGCTGCAATGGCTGGAGCTGAGCTGATCCAAAGCCAGGAGCCAGGAGCTTCTTCTAGGTCTTCCACGCAGGTGCAGGGTCCCAAGGCCTTGGGTCATGCTCGACTGCTTTCCCAGGCCACAAGCAGGGAGCTGGATGGGAATTGGAGCACCTGGGATATGAATTGGCGAAGATTTAGCTGTTAGGCTATCATGCCGGGCCTCACAAATATTTCTTAAGCAGGACATAAAAACCAACAACCATAAGAACAAAAATTGTAAGTTGACCTATAGTGAAATCAAGATCTGTGATAAGAAGGCCATTAATAAGTGAAAATTTCACCAAATGGAAGATACTCAACAAATTATCTGCCAACAGATTTCTACCCAAAATACACAAAATCATAATTCATTAAAAGCAAATAAGAGAAACCAGAAAATTTTAGAAAAACAAGCAAATAATTTTTAAATGTTACCAAAGATGAAACATATTGGGCCAGTAAGTATGAAAAAGTTTTCACCTTCAGTAGTCAATAGAAAAAAATCAAATTCAAGAAGCTAGCAACTATACCACTATACACTCACAAAAATAACTAAAAAGAGGAGCAACACCGGGTGGTGCTGAGAACTGTCAGATTTCACATTTCTAGTGGGTACACACTACACAGTGGTATACACACTGGGCAATATTTACTAAATATGTGCATAGATGTGACATGCCAATTCCTTCCGTAAGCATATACGTCACACAAACCGCTCACCAGGAGACATGTACCAGGATGGTCATAGCAGCACTAAACCAGAACAAGCAAAAACTAAACACCATTCCAATGCCCAGGAAGAGAAGAATGGCTAAATGAGTTGTGTGTTGGAATACTATGCAGCAATTAACATAAACACAAGAACTGTGCATTTGTTGAATAGATGATGCCAAGCACAATGGGATGCGTGTTTCATAACTTCATGTTGGAAGTAAGAAAGGATACTTTCCTTTGGTGGTGGCAGGGAGGAAGGGAGCAAGTGGTGGATATCAGAGAATAGAAGTGGAGCCTCGGAGGTGATCCCGGTACCGGAGGCACAGCTCTCCCTCAAAATCTCAGCGAACTGTGTGTTGGTGACACGTGCTCTGCTTCAGTCAAAAGTTAAAGCAAAGTGCATCGCCCTAAGAGCCAGCATTCTGCCAAGAATAACATCCATTCTTGGGTATGAGGGAAAGGTGTTCATGCCATCTGCTTGTAATAACAAAAGATTAGCTGAAGCCTCAAAGTTCATGAACTAACACTTCAGTGTGTTGTGTGCTTTTGGAATATAAAATATAACGCATGCCTTAGAAGCAGGACAATCAGGCTATATTATCAGGAAAATTGAACCCTGATATTCTGCTGAAAATTAAAAAATAGTACATCAATGCAATCCCTTTCATTAAGAAAATCTAAAAACCCCTTCTGTGTAAACTATATGATTATGACAGAGTTCTGATTCTTCTGAAAGTACAGCTTCCATCTCGTATGAAGGAATACCAGCTCTCTGGGCACTTCATTAACAGTGTGGTCGCTGCAAGTTTCGGTGATAGAGGAGGAAAAAATGCTTGCCTGGAAATTAAAAAATGAGTGTTGGTTTACTTGCCAATGTCTTCTGGTGTTTACCTCAGTTGTGCATCTGGTAAGGATATTTTATTCGTAAAATGACATATTTACTGAAATACACATACACACTCATAAAATCATCTTTTGTTGCTTGAAAACAAAGTCCTGTAATAGAAATCAAATGTCTGTGAGAGAGAAGGCAGAACACTGGATTCTACAGATTATTATTTAGACCTCCAGGCTCAGATGAGGTCTTTGTCAGCAATTCACTCAAACTTTGTCTGGTACAGCGGCTGAGGAGTTGCATGGGTAGAGAAACTATGGCAGTGATGATGAGGAGGAGAATAAATATGAATAACAATCAGCATAATAATTAAAGCTAGCTTAACAAGTATTGCCACTGCTATGTGTCAAACACCTTTTACTTTACATTGTTAATTATTTTTAAAAAAAATTATTTTATTTTTATTGGAAAGTCAGACATACAGAAAGGAGGAGAGACAGAAAGGAAGGACTTCTGTCCATTGAATCATTCCCCAAGGGGCCGCAGTGGCTGGAGCTGTGTCAATCTGAAGCTGGAAGCCAGCAGCCAGGAGGCAGAGCCTCTTCCAGGTCTCTTATGTAGGTGCAGGGTCCCAAGGCTTTGGGCTATCCTTGGCTGCTTTCCCAGGCCACAAGCAGCGAGTTGGATGGGAAGCAGGACTGCCAGGATTAGAATTGACGCCCAGTGCATGCAAGGCAAGGACCTTTGCCACTAGGCTACTGCTCTGAGCCTCATTGTTACTTTAATCCTTGGCACAATTTTATTAGATAGTTACCAATATTGTTATTGCATACAGAATTAGGCACAGAGCAAGCAAGTGCCGTGCCCAAGATAATACATCCTGTAACCAAATTGTGCATACTGCATGCAAATATAATCAGATTAACACTCAACTTCATGTTGTTAACCACTATTGCCCTGACTAGCCTGGTTATTTTATAGCTATTCAACTAACCAATAGCATTTGATGACCTGTTGTGAGCTAGGACCTTTCCGAGTGACTAGAGATAAGAGCTTAGATTAACTAACTTTTGAGATGCCCATGTCCCATATCAGGGTGCCTGACTCCAGCTTCCTGCTGTTACAGACTGTGGAGGGAACATGCAATCCACGTGAGAGACTTGGATTGAATTCCAGCTCCTGGCCTCAGCTTGTCCTAACCCCAGCTGCTATGGACATTTGGGAAGTGAATCAGCTTAGCAGATGGGGGACTCTTCCCCTCACCCCCCTTTGAAAACAAGCCTTGGCCTATGACAGGTGCTCACTAATTCTTGATTTGATTGTCATGGTTTCAAGATTTATTTTTATTTACTGGAAAGGCAGAGTTACAGAGAAAAGGAGAAGCAGAGAAAGAGACCTTCCATCTGCCGGTTCACTCCCAGTTCGGCCACAGCCTCCAGGACTTGGATCAGGCCACAGTCATCAGACAGGAGCTTCATCCAGATCACCTATGTGAGCACAGGGCCCCAAGCACTTAGCTCATCTTGTAGTGCTTTCCCAGGCGCATTAGCAGACAGCTGGATCAGAAGAAGAGCAGCCAGTATCAATATACAACATTATGGAATTAATTGACATAGTATTGGGTAAACAACATGTTAAAAATAATGCAAGATACTGAGGCCTTGTTGGGGCTTTTAACTGACCGGATCTTTACTCTGTTAGACCTATCTTCAGACCACAGAAGGTCTCCCCAAGAGGCCACTGAACTTATCTGGACAATAAGACGCTGAACTTTATGCTGGGCAAGTGTTTGCAAGCAATGAATCTCAACTGAACTTGAACTATGGTTATGCAACAAGGTGGAGGAATCCACCATGGGGGGAGGGGTGTGGGAGGGGTGGGGGGAATCCCCAGTGCCTATGAAACTGTACTACATAATACAATGTAAGCAACAACAAAAAAAAAAAAAAAAAAAAAAAAAGAAGAGCAGCCAGGACTCAAACAGGCACCTGTATCAGCAGCTTAACCATCAGACCACATGCAAGCTCCTCACCAACACTTGCTGAAGGACAGAATCAAGGACAAATACCAGTGTAGGAAGGGACAGTCAGATCATAAGAATAACATTCTGCGTTGATTGACATGCCTGCAAGTCCTGAGTTCACAGAGGGAGAGGCATTAATTCTGCATTTGGAGTGGAGGAGGACAGGCGCCAGGCAGTTCCATCAAGGGTACTGGCAAGTTTTTTCATAAAAGAAAACAAACAATAAAGTAACTACTAGACTGCCAGGCATCTCACAGGAGAAGCAGGTGCTGTAGGCAGATGAGGAGGAAACGTCTGCGTTCCACGAAGGGAGCCAGGTGAGAGGCATCAGTGTGTGAACTGCGCTCTAGGAAAGGCAGCCGTGCAGAGCCTAAGGCAGTGCGTGAGCAATCCCGGCCGCGGAGCGGGAGCTGTGCCGGGACCCAGGACTCGGCCAGCTGATCAGACCAAGTACAGCAGCAAGCAGGTGTCAGCAGCACAGGTGCGTGCAGCTTTTCAAACGAAATTATGTCCTTGCAGGTTCCGCGAGCTCCACCTCTGCGCCTCTCCTCGCACCCCTTTGCCATGCTAACAGCACCCAAAGCAGCGGAATACGCCCGCAAACAGAGTAAGTCTGTCACTTTTCCATCTGCTTAGAGTCAATTGAGTGTAACTGGGAGGTGGGCTCTAAGGTGAGGTCGAAAGTGAAGTGGTAATTACATTTCTCTGCCTGGTTGAACCACAATCAACTATGAGCTTTTATGACTTGATTTTCTTTCATTAACAAACATGGGAAAATCATCCTCAGACCCTTGGGCACAGGAGCTAAGCATTGCAGAAGGGAAGAATCTAAAACTGTGTGTGTGAATCAGCCAACTGGTACATCAGATGAATGGATAAGGAAAATGTGGCATATACAGACGATGGAATACTATTAAGCTATAAAACAGGATGAAATCCTATCATTTGGAGCAAAATGGTTGCAACTGGAGGACATCAGGTTGAATAAAATAAACCAGACACAGAAAGACAAATAATGTATATTCTCATAGAAGCTAAAATTTTTAAAGTAATGATAAACCAAAACAAAGAAAAAAGGAATACTTGTATATATCACTTTTGCTGCAAATGCAGTGTTTTGCAACCTTTGTTTTAAATCTTTGTTAAGCAAACTGATGGGAATTATATACTACTATAGTTCTGGGGATTTTGTGATCACTGTAAAGTTTACTTTATATGAGTGAAGTTGCACTTCTTTTCCTTTGATTATTGTGTATAGCCCATGCCTATGTCCCTTTTGACAAAGCTATGATCTATGTTTTATTTGTCAAACTCTTTATTTAGTGGCTCATTGAGCCTTTAATCACAACACAAATTTAAAAATATCATCTCAAAAATAAATGCAATGTAAAATAAGTAAATAAATAAATGGAACTGTAAGCGGACATACGTCTGTGTCTGCAGGTGTCAAGTTCAGAAGGGGAGCAATAAGCAAGAATGCCACAAACAGCTCCACAAAGGAACCAAATGCCACGAAATGGACATCATCAAAGAGCTTCTCAGATGTACAACCAAAGAACCATGTAGGTCTAAAACAGATCACACCAATCTGAGACCTTAGGTTTTGGGAGTGCTTCACTTAGTTGGGGGTTAGAAGTCTAGCCTTGTAGTTAAACACTCTAGGTTTGCACACAGAACCCTCTATTTCCCAGCTGTGCGACTTCAGGCAGGCAACTTAATCTCTCTGTGTTTTAATTTCCTCCTCTATGAAATGGCATGAAGCACAATGATCCCTGCCTCTTTGTTGATGAAGATGATTAATTGGATTCATGTATGTTCAGAGAGTAGACTAAGGCTTGGCACTGAGTGCCATCTGAAACAGTAACATTGTTCTGTTTTCAGGATTGGCCAGACATTTACAAGTAAATGAGCGAAGTCTGGTGAGGGAGGGCTCAGATGAATATCTGTACACCGAAAGTTCCCGTTCTTGGTCCCTATCTCTTACCATTTCCTGCTGAGCATCTCTTCTGTCCACCTGATTCCAGAGTTGGGGTACCTGGTTCTGGCAGGCTGGAGAGGAAGGAGAAAGGGAGGAGCGTTCTTTGTGCTTTCAGCTCTGTAATGTGCAGGTGCAAAGAGGGTTTAAGAAGTCAGAGAGAACGAGCTGGTCAACAGTATAACAGATGAGGGGGCAGTCAGAGAAGCAGTCCTAGGTGGGCACCCAGGATAGGCTAGGATAGGGGCTTGTGATTGAGGAGTCTGAAGGTAGCGAGGGAGGGAAAGGCGGAAGGGGCGGATATTGTAAACACTGAGTTGTCAATTGGGCATCTGTCAAGAGACTCAGGGTGACAATGGAAAGGCCTTTTTCTATCATTTAGCTGCTGCGCTGCACAATTTGTGAATGAGAATCTCAGAATAGTGATTCCCAAATGGGGCTCGGGATTGTTTTGGGGTCCAAAGGCAAATGAGTGATTGGTCAGAAAGGTGCCCTTCCCTCAGGAGTTGTAAGAACTGCCTGAACTCTTCCAGCACATCAGATTTCTGTATGTATTATTCATGAAAATCATGATATTATTATAATGTGAAAATAATTGCATTATTGAGAAATCATCACTGGTTGAATTTTCAATGGTATTTTTTCTATGAAGAGATTTCCGAGTACATATTCTGTAACATCATAAATTTACTTCTAAGTAACTTATTAAAGTAAGACAGTTTGTTATGTGTTTGAACATAGCAAATTTTAAGGAGAAACACAAAACAGCAATTAAAACACAGTAGCAATTGGAAAAGAGCAACCACAAAGTGCACACACAAAGCTCCAGTAATTTAAACTTTACAGTTATTCACAAAAAAAGCATGTTCCTGAAACAGGGGTTCATAGACACTCCCCCACCCCAAAACCAAGGCTCACCTGTTAGTTCCTATATAAAGAAAGCCAAGCTTGCAAGCTCAAACATTACTGCGCTGTTTTGAACATAAAATTCCACCTCAACTCTGTTTCCTTTCATGGAAAGGACCCGGCAGCTATAGTCAGTGCTGTGGAGCCCAGGAGAAGCAGAACCAAGGCCCCCCATCTTGCAGCAGGGCCGGGTGCTGAGATGGGTGCCTTCCTACAGGCCCTTCTAGATATGCCAACAGCACCAAGTCCAGCTCATGCTTCTTTCATGCTATGTAACTGGCATACTTCAGGCGTGTTTTTCCAATTGCCAGGTCATGTGCTTTTAAAGCGAGTGTAAAGTTGTTCTATAATAGCCACATAGATATTGTACCAATAAACATAATCCAATTTCCACATCTGTAAGAATGGCTTCATGAATTTTATTTCTGATTTTCAATGCATTTGGCCTTAACTTCCTGTATAACAAAAGTCCATGTCTGTGTCCTAACTACATTGTTGATACCAAAATGATCTTTTATCCTCAACAGGTCACCTAAATACTTGGAACTCTGCCATGGATCTTCACAGTGGAGTCTCCGGGAAGACAAGAAAGATCGTCTGAGGACTGCAGCTCTTGCCAGCAGATTTCCTTACAGTTAGCTTTTGATCCGTTGAAGTGTTATTTTTGATGTTGACCTTTCTTCTTTTAGATACATACTGCTTGGCAACTTCTTGATCAAAGAAAAGAAATGCATCGTAGGCTCCTGCATCATGGCTAGGAGTTTATTGATGAATTCAAGAGAGTACATTGCATTTCTGTATCACAACACAGGTGCTTTGTGGGTATTTTACTAAAGTATGGTATTGGATTTTGCACAGTAGTAGAATAAGTGGGGGTTTCCCATAGTTTTAATTCAGAATAAAATAAATCTGGGACTGGTGACCTTTACTATACTCTCCTGTGAATAAAATTCAAAATCACTTCAATAAAACATTAAAAGGAAAGAATGGATGCAGGCTTTCTGTCAGTAGAATATCATGACCACTTGACAAGGAACATATTGTAGTTTTCTAACACCTTTCTAAAATGTAGGCCAGTGGCTTAGCCTGTTCTGATTGGTTAAGTTCATGCAAATTATCCCATTCTCAAGGCATCGATGTCTTGTGTTTCATTCACGTGTACTAAGGAACAGTTTAATGAACATAGCATACGTGAATGAAAATGTGTGAGTTTGTTGGCTTCTGCTGAAAAGGCTGGTATGTTCCCTTGGGAGGAGTAGCTGGGGAGACTCATGCAGGACTTTCCACACTGTTTGCTCATGGCTATAATGGAGGTATTCCAGTGAACCTGCCACTTGGACCCAGAGGCCCAGGAGTGCGTCTGGGAACTATGATCCCCCATATATTGCCACCCTACTACCTTCCTGGGGCTTTGCCCAGTTTCCTTCTGATAGCCCTGCTGGTTAGGAAGAAGTTTTCCTTGTGGCAGTTGTGTCTCCCCTTTGACCCTCCTCACAAGTGCCTCAGTGTATCTGAGGCATAAAGCCATTTGATTTCACTTTCCCACATCCAAAGATGAGCTGCAGTGTGGAGTTATTCTCTGTACCTGCATAAGCACTTCTAAATCAATAGGTTGGCAATATCAGAAAAGAGCTCCAGGCAGTCACCAGGGGGATGCTTATGGGAGGAAAGGAGAGGCATAGCACAGTGCTGGAAGGGTGCTGGCGGGAGAGGAGCAGGAGTGTCCGGGTGCCTTCCTGCTTTCTCAGGCATTCCACAGACGCTCCGGAGATTTAAGTGCAAAGAGAGATATTTAATGTAAAAATAAAATATACAAATTTCCAAATTTACTGCTTTTTACCATTAACTCAAAGTCACACATTTCAAAAATAATTTCACTGTTCTTTCATCTCATAAAGGTGAAATAAATTAGAAAATTAAAGAAATAGAAAACAACAAAAAGAATAAAGGCATGAACTGGGTCCTATAATCTTACCATTCATTGGTAGCTATGAGTGACATGTTGGAGCAGAGTTCTGATCTTTTCTTTTATGAATCGAATCTGAATTTTCTTTCAAAATAAGGCACATCATACTGAAGAAATGGCGCTGTCTTTCAACTAGAGGGCTTTTAGTTTAGGATTTGGGGCTGCCTCTTCCCACCTCAAGTCCTTGTGGAACTCATGCAAGCTTCGTGTGCTCCTCAGATGAAAGCACCCCACTCCATCTCAGCAGTTTCCATAGGCAAACACTGCACAATACGGGACATGCACCGTATTTCCAGAGTGCTGCCTGGGACAAGAGGGCCGCCCTTTGTCTCCAAGGTCAGAATGCCTCTGCTGACCTCAATACCTTTCACTGGAGCTGCTGAGGACAACTCGAAAATGCCAGAGAGAATGACAGCCCCCTGCCCCATGATCCCAAATGAAAAACAGACAGAACACAGAAATCCCCTTACGCACTACCCCCAGGTCTCTTTTGTGTTGTTCTTGCCAACGCAGCATCCGTCCTGCTATATATACCGTCTGCCATTCTCCTTGCCATCACATTGGACGCTGAACATCCGATATCCACAGCCATGGGGAAGGTGAGCCCACCGGGGTACCGCGCTGTGGCTAGGGTGTGTCTGCTCTGGGTAGTGCCATCCAGCTCACTCTTTGCTGTCACTCGTTTTCCACTGTAGATCACCTTCTACGAGGAACGGGGTTTCCAGGGCCGCTGCTACCAGTGCAGCAGCGACTGCCCCAACCTGCAGCCCTACTTCAGCCGCTGCAACTCGGTGCGCGTGGACAGCGGCTGCTGGATGCTCTATGAGCGCCCCAACTACCAGGGCCACCAGTACTTCCTGCGGCGGGGCGAGTACCCCGACTACCAGCAGTGGATGGGCTTCAGCGACTCGGTCCGCTCCTGCCGCCTCATCCCGCAAGTGAGTTCTGTTTCTAGTGCCTAGTATGAAAGCATCAGTGGTTGGTGGCTGATGCTGACAAATGCCCGTTGCTCCCGGCCAGAACCAGTACACCAAGGCTTCTAAGGAAAAACCTCCCATCTACTGGCTGACTCCCCAAATGCCTGGGAGCTGTGCTCCTAATCCAGATCTCTCACAGGACTGGCAGGGACCCAGCTTCTTAAGCCACCATGAACTGCTTCCCAAAGTAGGTCTTAACAGGAAGCTGGGATCAGAAGTGGAGCCAAGACTGGAACCCTGGCTCTGATATAGGACAGATATCTCCTTAAACAATATCTTCCCCATTGCACCAAGGCCTGACTCATACACAATTCTTTCAATGATTACAAAATAATTGGTTGGTAGCTTTTTTTTCCTAGTACATTCTATGACATAATGATTCGAATCCTAGAGCACTGGCTCTCGGTGTTTGTTTCTTCTATAAGCTCTCAGGTTCACTACTCAAGTCAGCTTTATTTCTGCAGGTCTCTTGAGTAGATCAACATAAGGAGTAGGATTAGAGAAGGTTGTGAAAACTGCTCCATGTAGACGCAGGCTGACAAGGTCCCTTTGGTTGGCCCCAGGGACGCACACTGTTAATTCTCCTTGTGTTTATCGTCACCACAGACCAGTTCTCACAGGATAAGGCTGTATGAGAGAGACGACTACCGGGGGATCGTGTCCGAGCTCACCGAAGACTGCTCCTGCATCCATGATCGCTTCCGTCTCAATGAGGTCTACTCCCTCCATGTGCTGGAGGGCTGCTGGGTCCTCTATGAGATGCCCAACTACCGCGGGAGGCAGTACCTGCTCAGACCTGGAGACTATAGACGCTACCACGATTGGGGGGCCATGGATGCCAAAGTCGGCTCTCTGAGACGTGTCATTGACTTGTACTAGGCTGTGCTTTCCCTGTGTTCCACAATGCAAATGCAATAAACACATCCACCGTGTTCCTGGTACGCAGCAGCTCCTGTTTATCCTTGCGTAGTAACTGAATTTTAGTGGATAGTGACCCCTGGCAGTTCCTGTGACCATGAAAGATGTTCTGCGTGTTCATGGATTTCCTGTTAGTGAGGCAACAATATCTATCAGTATCTATCTAGTACTGTCATGGGAAGGTGACTGGCTGCTCTGCCTTCCAAGAACTACAGTCTGAAGGAGAGAGAAAAATGAACACAATGAACAAGTAATAGAGGCCACAGACGGGAAGCAATGTAGACTGCAATGTAGTGGGGGCGTCAGACAAGGCATTGCTCGAGGGAACTGGCAGTGCTGTAGACTCAGATCAGACAAGAAAAGATACAGAAAGAGAATTTCCCAAGTAGAGAAGGTCAAGCCTACTTGGTGTTAAAAGTGTTACACTGAGAGTTTAAGAAAAAGTGTCATTTCCTCTAAGCTTAACTTTGCTTACATGAAAGGCAGAGACAGACACAGAGAGCACTCCCATCTATGGAGCCACTTGCCGGATGCCCATACCTGCACCAGCTTGGGCTGCATTGGTGCTGGGAACTGCCTCGGGGTCTCCCGTAAGAGCAACAAGGACCCAGTTACTTGAAGTACTGTTGCTAGCTCCCTGAGTCTGCATCAGCTGGAAGTTGGAGCCAGAAACCAAACCCAGGCACTCCTCTATGAGACACAGGGGTCTCAACTTTACCACCTGGCCAAATGCCCAACTTAAACATCCCAGACTGCTTACACTACCTTACTATTTAGGAAGGAAGTGACTAACTCAGTTCTATGTTCCAAGGACTCTCCCAGTGTCAGCTGAGAATCTTTCATTCCAGAAAACCCACCAGTTTCACAAAAAGTAGGAGAGCCAGTTACTCACTTACAAGCTTAGTGCATTAAAGCAGTCACTTTGTATCCTCTCTGTGTCCAAAGAATCATTGAAAATGCTAAGTGATAATTACTTCCCAGGATGATCATGATGAAAAGAGAGGAAAAATTGTGAACATACTTTGTCACTTTTAAGTTATCACACAACTGTAAGATTTTAATATATCTACAATATCTGCTCAAATTCAACAATGCAAATTAGTCTTTATCTCGGATTCAAATATGTCCTATATGTCCTTTTATCAAGATCAATGATCAAAGATCCCATTAGTGAAGTATTAACTATTTGCTATGCAACCTGACTCTAGAATTTCTTTCTGCTGACAGATCTACTCTTTTACAATGTTAGATTCTTTTCCAAATTTATATAAACAAAATAATATTCTGTCCTGATTGAATTTTTTTCTAGAAATTATTATGCTGATTATAAAATTTATTATGGGAGGACAGCACTGTGGTGTGGGAGGACATTGTGACCCTGGATGGTCAGCAAGCACAGGATTACAGTTGATTGGACAATATTTGCATGAGAACAACCAAATGGCTACCTTTTGTATACCTGATTGGATATCATTTGTATGAGAACAATTGAGTGGACAGCATGTTCTCATACGAGAACACTTGGTGGAATATACAAAACAAAAGGAGTTCCAAACAAAAGCATAGAAACAGTTGATGGGTTTTGTTGATGAGCTCAATATTTCCTCCCTTATTCCATATGACCCTCAGTACATAAAGTCTGATGCCACTAATAAACTTCGGCTTTAACCATCAGTCAGGGTCCACGCGTGTTATTATCAGCTCCGTGCACCAAGTCCATCGCTGCGGGACAGCGACACTATTGCACAGCGAGTAAAGCCAACACCTGCAGCATCAGCATCCCATAGAAGCACCAATTTAAACCCTGGGTGCTCCGTTTCCAAACCAGTTCCCTATTAATGCATCTGGGAAAGCAACAGAAGACAGCCCAGTGTTTGGGTTCCTGCGTCCATGTGGGAGACTTAAAAGGAACTCCTGGATTTTAACCAGTCCAGCTCCAGCTGTTGCGGCCGTTTGGGGGCAGGAACCAGCAAAAGGAATGCTCTCTGTCTCTGTCTCTCTTTTTCTCTTTCTGTAACTCTGACTTTTAAATAAATGAACAGATCTTTTAAAAAATAAAGTCTACATGGACCCAGAATAGCCAAAATAATCTTGAGAAAAAGCCAACAGTAGTATTCACACTTCCTAGTTTCACAACTTGCCACAATACAATGGTAGTCAAGACAGCAAGGCACTGGTATGAAGACAAATATACGAATGAGTGAAACAAGACTGAGAGTCCAAAAGTAAACCAACTTGTATGATTTTGGACGAGGATGCTAAAAGCAACTCAATAGGAAAAGAATTTCTTCGAGGAATAGTGCTGGAAATATTGGGTATCTATGTGCAAAAGAATCAAGCTGGATTCTAATCTCATACCTATGCAAAAATTAACTCAAAATAGATCAAAGGCCTAAAATATAAGAACTGAATGTATAATACCCTCAGAAAAAGAACATAGGCATTCAGCTTTGTGACTTTGTATTAGACAAAGCTTTCTTCTTCTTTTCTTTTTTTTAAGATTTATTTATTTTTATTACAAAGTCAGATATACAGAAAGGAGGAGAGACAGAGAGGAAGATCCTCCATCCGTCCAATAATTCACTCCCCAAGTTAGCGCAATGGCCGGTGTTGCGCCGATCCAAAGCTGGGAAACAGGAACCTCTTCTGAGTCTCCCACATGGGTGCAGGATCCCAAAGCTTTGGACCATCCTCTACTGCTTTTCCAGGCCACAAGCAGGGAGCTAGATGGGAAGTGAAGCTGCCGGGATTAGAACCGGCGCCCATATGAGATCCCGGCACATTCAAGGCAAGGACTTTAGCCGCTAGGCCATGCCACCAGGCCGTATACAAAGCTTTCTTAGCCATGATGCCAAAAGCACATGCAACAGAAAAGAATAACATTCAAAAATTTTATGCATCAAGGGATATTTTCAAGAAAGACATGGTGGTAAACATTTGCCATGCAGTTTAACTGTTGCTGCTTCTTGTTCTTGTTCTTCTTCTTCTTCTTGGAAAGGCAGATATATAGAGAGAGGAGAGACACAGAGGAAGATCTTCTGTCCAATGGTTCACTCCCCCAAGTGGCCACAAAAGCTGAAGCTGAGTTGATCCAAAGCCAGGACCCAGGAGCTCTTCCAGCTCTCCTACACAGGAACAAGGTCCCAAGGCCCTGGGCCATCCTTGATTGCTTTCCCAGGCCACAAGCAGGGAGCTGGATGGGAAGCAGGACTGCCGGGATTAGAACTGGTACCATATGGGATCCTGACACATTCAAGGTGAAGGCTTTAGCCACTGTACTATCGCTCTGGGCCCTAACTATTGCTTTTGATGCCTAAATCCCATATTGAAGTGCTTGGGTTTGTCCCAGATCCATCCCGGACCAGTTCCAGCTTCTTCCTGGTGCATACCTTGGGAAACAGCAGATGATGCCAAGCAGTGTGTCCCTGCCACCAATGTGGGAGACTGGAATTGAGTTGCTACTAACTTTGATTGGCCCAGTCCCAGCTGCTATGGGCATTTGGAAAGTGAATCAGCATAGGGGCAATCTCTCTCTGTCGATATCTACTCCTATGCTATTCATATAAATAAATAAAAATTTTTAATTAATTAAATAATTTATCTTTTACTTGATTGGCAGATTTACAGACAGAAGGAGAGACAGAAAGATTTCCATTTGCTGGTTCACTCGTCAAATGACTGCAAAAGTCAGGGCTGAGCTGATCTGAAATCAGGAGCCAGGACCTTTCTCTGGGTCCTCCACATGAGTGCAGGGCCCAAAGATTTGAGTCAACCTCTACTGCTTTCCCAGGCTATAAGCAGGGAGCTGGAAGGGAAGTGGGGCAGCCATAACATGAACCAGCATCCATATGGGATGTTGGCTCCTGTAAAGTGAGAATTTAGCCATTGAGCCATTGTACTGGGCCCAAGCAATCCAAGTTTTTAAGTGGCAAGTGACTTGAATATACATCCAAAGGAAATATCCAAATGGCCAACGATCAAATGAAAAAGTCTCCATGTCTTTAGCTGCAAAGGAAACTAAAATCAAAATCATGGTGGGCTACTACTTAATAATTATTATGCTAATTTGTAAAACAGCCAAACAAACCCAGAAAACAGAGCCTGTGAGGATGCAGAGAAATTGCCAGTGGGAATGTAAAATAATACAGCTGCTGTGGAAAAGTTTGGCAGTTCTTTTAGAAGTTAAACATAATTACCTAACGATCTAGCAATTCCACTTCTAGGAATATACTCAAAGGAACTGAAACAGCTGTTCAAGCAAGAATTTATACATGAATGTCCATAACAGTTTTAATCACTGTAACCAAAAGAAATAGCCCAAATGTCCAAAAGTCCATGGGTTATTAAAAAAAAAAAGTGATATGCAATGGAATGGTTTTTGGTCATAACAAAGAGAGGGTACTAATACATGCTACAACATGGATGAATGTAGGCCCCAGTCTCCCAAGGGTTAGAACCACAGCTTAGCTTGTTTCTCAAGGTGTAACAGGATGGGCAATCTTGGCCTGACTGCAAGTTCCCTCTTCCCTGCTTCCCCTTTTTAAGATGTTCTGGCGGCGGGGGGGGGGGGGGGGGGGGGGGGGCTTAGGTGTTACTTGAGCATTGGGAAAATACTGGGAGGAGCCAAGCAGACCATACAAGATGCGGATTGACTTTGAATAAATGGTATTCTCTTTACAAGGATGACCCACTGTGTGTTGTCTGTTTTGTAACCCTAGTCCCTCAGCTTGGCTCGGGGTACGCAGCGACATGGGCATTGCTGACAGATGAACATGAAAGAATTCACTCACAGAACACCATGAATTATATGATTCTGTGCATGTGAAATACCCAGAATGAGCAAATCAATAGACAGTAAGTAGATGTGTGATTGCTCAGGGTTTGGGGCATGGATGAATAAGGACATGGCTGCTAAAATGTGTGGGCTTCTTCCTCCTGGCGAGAAACATAGTCTGAAGTTGACAGTGTTGATAGTTCAGACATATCTAAGAATACAATAAAACCACAATTATACATTGCAA